TGAATTGCATGAATGGATTTTTAAGAATGCATTTAGATAAAAAACTTTATCTCAAATCTATCGTAAAACAATGAGTGAGTTTACTTGCACTTAATAATCTGTTAGTTGCAGAAAATCAGATTTTGTCATTCAATCAGTTAAGGTCTACATGAGTCAGGCAGTGATCGGATTTCTGCTTCACAACCAGCCAATAAACTCACAGAAATTGCCTGAAAATATGAACACACATCATCTAGAAGATGAAGAATATTTAAATCCTTCATTTCGTCAAGCATATATTTGGTTTCAGCGTCGTTCCAAAAGTGTTTTGCTGCATCCCGCTGCAACAGGGCTTATTAACGGTACGGGCACAGACTGAGAAATCCGAAAGAAATCAGAGTAAGAGTTTACATGCACTGAGAAATCTGATTACTGAGCTAAAATCCAGCTCTCTTTATCAGATTCCTTAATTGGATTTCTAGACCTTACTTCGATCTAAGAAATCGGAGTTTGCTGTTTACATGACCATTTCCATAATCAGATAACTACAGAAATCTGATTATGATCAGATTATTGAGTGCATGTAAATCTCAGCCATCAGGCAAAGTATAACCTTCACTATAATAACGTTTTGTGTTTAGAGGCATTAAACTCTTTAGACGTCTGGTTCCCATCACCACCACTGTGACTCTGTGAGTTTCTCTACAATGGAGCCAACCACTCTGAACAACTCTGTTAACATCTCAAGTGTTTAATCCTAATTCATAACACATGGACTAGTTATGGATTCTGCCCATGATTGTGTCTAATGTAAAAGAGTGGCTCAGGTTGTGTCCACCAACAGTATTCTTCTTTCAACAGAAATACAAATGAGTGCATCTGTAATGTTAATCATTGTCATATTAACAATTCAGGCCCTCTCATCATTTATTCAGGCCTGGTGTTGACTAGCCTAAAACTATCCAAATATATGTGCAATGCATTGCGTAGATAAGCAAAGCAAATTTATCAGCGAGTCTACATTTCTTTAAATAAGTAAAACCAAGTGTTCAGCCACAGCTCAGACAGTACGTTTGATTCTAAACATCTCCATTTAGTGTAACTGTATCCCAGTGATTTCTCCCATACATGAAGGATGCTTATGAGTCTGCTGGCTCAACTATGGCACTTCCAAGATGTATCTAGTTTCATATTCCGGTGCTCAGACATTATTAGCCCAAACTTCACCATCTTAAAACCAAGTGCATTGGGTTTTTGGGGACAAGATCTGAAAGCATCTGTCTAGAAACTCACATGAGCTTAGCTGTATGTTTCACACCCAGAAGAATGGAAGCTTCTTCTTTGTGGAAACTCCAATTTTATGAGTTCACACCCACGTTGCTAACGGTACATTCCACCTCGACAATGAGAAGAAGCCCCCTCCCCACAAGATCTGCATATCCAAAGATGCTTAAATGAAGACATGTATGAATGCATGGGCTCATAAAAGTAAAAGCGAACGGACAGACAAGCCACATCATGTTTCATCTGTATTGATGGGCCAAGCAATTCGATTCTCGAACTAGAATCAAAGAAACTCTAGAAGTGCGTAGATGATGTAGTCAAACATGCATTTCATTCCAAGTGCACTTATTAAGCTGCGCACTTTCATGCTTCACCTGAGCTATTTATAAACCCTGGTCGAGTTCAAAGAATCACACTGAACAGCGTCTTTCAGAGAGGAAGCGGTACTGAGGTTGCTTGTCGCGCTGAAGCCGTGCAGACCCCTACTCAGAGTTGTTAGATGTGCGTCGGCCTCCTCTCTCAACTCTCACCTACTGTCTCCTACTCTAACGCCACCAGATTATGAAAGATAGTGAGTCATCAGACTGGACGAGACGTCGCTCATGTAGGGGCATCTGCTGTTTAAGAACTGACTTAATGGAAATGGAACATTATTAGCTGTGCCTTCTGATGGGAACACAGATATGAGCAAGAACTGGTGCACGAAAGTCTATGCCTCCTTAACGCATTCGCCGAAATATCTCAGTAGCCCAATATAGCGTTGGCTAATAGAATAAGCAAACTGCTGCAATAAACATGCAAGTCATCTAGGCTACCAACAGAAAGATAATAATAATAGACATACTGATTTTTTTATCCCGTGGTGCTGTAACAGATGCTCATTTGTGCAGAGTGATGTTAGAAGTGAAAGTACCTCATCAGTTCCAGAAGCTGGGAGGACAGCATGCTCAGAAGAGTACTGTTTCATCAATGACATCATCGAAATTTTAACATAGTTAAAGGGGCACTCCGGCCAAGATGAATCGTTTAACCATTGATAGATCAGTTGGAACAATGCCTGCTAGCCTCTTAGAGTTGTGCCACAGTAGTCTCTAAAGTGAGATTGTCCAGTTTAAAGGCTGGGAAGGCCCTCCTGATGATGTATCTTGAAGGTGGAGAAACCTTTAGGATGTTTTTGAAAAACTTTGGACTTTGAATTTTGGTTTTATTAGCAGGTTAAATGGGGAGCATGGTGGCGCTGTCGCCTACCCAAGAAGGGCCTGTGTTCAGTTCCCCGGCCGGGCGACCAGGGTCCTTTCTGTGTGGAGTTTGCATGTTCTCCCCCTGTCTGAGTGGGTTTCCTCCCAGTAAGGCCAGTTGGACTACATTGCCCCTAGTGTGCCTGCCCTGTGATGGACTGGCGACCTGTCCAGGGTGTATCCTGCCTTCCACTCAATGACCGCTGGTATAGGCTCCAGCTGGTCAATGCAGAAGGAAGTCAGACTGATAGGAAGTGGAATATTTCATTAAGGTTGTATGACTGTGGTCTTCAAATGGTGACAACAGAAATGACCCGTAAGTTGAAGTCCATAACAAACTAAAAGCTAAAGTTAGCAAGGTAGATGACTGTCTAGACAGTTTACCTCAGTTTGGCTTGTTTTCTCTGGCTAAAAGGGTAAAAAACTTGTATTTTGTGCTGAAAAAAGACAGAATCATATTAAATTTGTTACACCAATGGTTCTAAAACTGGTCCTCAGCCCACATTTTTGCTTGATCCCAACTCCCAACACATAAGGACATGGAAGCGTGGACCCTCTAGGGGTCCACTGAAGACTGGTTTGAGAAAGTCTGGTTGTATCTATTAGCCTATAGATCAAGCATGTCAAACTGTGAACCTTCCAGGCCGAAGTGATGCAGAGATTAGCGTTTACACTCATCTAACACTCTGAATCAGTTGATGAAGGCCTTGTTAATTAGCTGATGAGCTCAATCAGGTGTGTTTAATGAGGCACTGGGCTGAAGACTACAGTGTTTTGGCCCGCGAGGACTGCAGCCTGACATATGTGACTTTGTGTAATCTGTTGTAGTGAGAGAACATTTATGAACAAAAACATGAAAACGACATAAAATCTTGAATGCTTCAGGAACTCTGATTGGCCAGTGGAAATTTGATACTTAAAATTCATCTACGGCACACAAAAAGTACAACCAGGGTTGGGTAGTAACAGAATACATGTAACATTACATAATCAGGACACAAAGAAAGGTAACAGTATTTAGTCACAGTTACAGAATAAACAGGAATCAGATTACAGGCACAATATAAAACGTGATATAATCGCTCTTATGATGCTCATTTCCTTGCTGGTGTTTCTATGAGCTAAAATTGTCTTCCTAATGATTTTTTTTCTTTGATGAGGGAGAAGGTGGTGAACTCACATGAAAGAAAAAATAAAATATCCTGACAAACAGCATGTTTACCATGACAGCTACAGGTTAAGCTAAATTTCACTTCTTTATGTGATGAAATTCACTTTTCTACTACAATTTCTTTCACTGGTGTTCATTGAGGGGATGTAGGTCTGTATTGTTGTTGGTTAGAAATAAAAAAATGAGTTGAGATGAAAAGCTTTCCACCTGGCACAGTAAGTAAAAGGCCAGACTGAGTACAGGAGCACAAACGTCTGAATGGTAGAAACAGCTCAGTTATGAAATCCTCTACAGTGAACACACCTCTGTACATTTTAATACTCAATTACTGTTTATTTGCTGAATTTAACACAGTGGAAAGATATACATAGAAAATGTGGCCTGTGCAGAAGTTATGGCACATTATATATTTTATGTTTCGTTTTTCCCCAATTTGTTAAACTCAACAAACTAAAATTTGCAGGGAATGTCATATTTAAGTTTATAATCTGTAGAGGACGTGTTAAATTATTTTCAATGAAAAAATCAATAAAGCATAATTTGCGAGGGCATGGTCAAACTTTTGCATATGACTGTACATCAGCTAGATTACTTAGATTAAAGTCATCCAGTTGAAATAGTTTTTCTCTGGTATTTATTGAGTCATATGACATTAATTTAAAAGTAACAGAAAGTAACCTAGTTATATTAATTTAGTTAGGTAACAAATTAACAGGGATTTTTAAAGTAACCCTCCCATAGATTTTGCAATACATTGTCATGTTTAACACTGACGACTGTAGAAGCTTCATCAAACTGAAGGGAGGTTTCTCGGCCCCTAAATCACCTATTTTGGTTGAGCTATTTAAGAAAAATGTTTAAAAGTACAAATTGTCCAAAGTCCAAAGCTGTTGAGGATCTAGAAATCGTTACCAGGGGTGGCAGAGAGTTTCAGCAGGGTGGCAATGTGACTGTTAGATTGGGGGAGGTGGGGAGGTTGGAGGTGTTCGAGAGGTGTTGGAAAATGTTCTGCAGATGGCCAATAGCAAAACCAATTGAAACCACGTGCAAACACCCACCCCACAATGAGGTGAAGGCCAATGACGTGGCAGAAATTTTGGGTGCCATCTTGGGTGGCAAATCAGATTTCAGGGA